TGGTATGGGGATGTCCAGGTTGATCCCAGGATGAAAGCCACTGCCTGGCTTATGGAAAAGCACCAGGTCTGCTCTGAGGCTAAAATCCAGACTTTGACTTTGTGGCCAACTCAGATACAGAAATCTTGGGCTGTCCATGTCCAAGGCTGCTGGCCAATCTGGGCCACATCATCTCTCCCAGGCTATTCAACAGCTTCCTAATTCATCTCCTAAGACCATCTCTTTGTGTGAAACCCTTCAATGGTGCCCCTGCCTTCAAGACACTTTTATGCTCCTCACCATGGCCTTGGGGCCCCTGCCAAGATCTCTAGCTCATCCATCACTGCTCTGCTTTTTTGCATCAAGCTCTTTTCTGCCTCAGGCCCTTTGCATAAGCTATCCCTTCTTGCCTGGTCTTCTCTTTCCCTGATTTTGATTTGTTAAGTGAATAACTTTTCATGGGTCTCAGCTTAAATGTCACCTTCCCTGATTCTTTATTTCAGCTACTAAAAAAAAATCCTTATAGCACACAGCACTTCAATGGGCAATGTGCTATGTACCAGGGCAATTTGATGAATTAATTTGTTTTTTTCCCTCTCTAATTCACCTCCCCATTCTGCATCTTTTGCCTAGGGGAGATTTGGGTCATAGGGTTCAAAGGAGAAACTACCTCCAAGATTTTCCTTTCTGGCTTCCATTTTCTGTAAGTTTAAACATTGTAGAGCAGATACTGCAAACCACCAGTTTCCTAGGCCTAGTCTTGCTCACAGATGGGCTTTTTTGTTTGACCTCTGCCAGGGCTTAACAACTGTTTTCACTCAGATGCCAAAGTTACAAAATAGAACAATTTCAAAATAAAAATCTGGATATGTGGCTTCTCATTTAAAGGATCTGGCAAGCTCAGCCCTGAAGTTCTCTTGTGATGGGCACTAATATTTACTGAGTACCTGCTAAGGTCAGGCACTGCTCAAAATCTTTCCCACATGAAGCTGTCATACAGGTATGTCATACAGGTAGATATGAGTATTTCTATTTTACATGATTAAGGAAACAGGCACAGAGTGGTTAAGTGACTTGCCTAAGAACTCACAGACAGTAGACACGAGAATGTGAACCTAGGCAACGTAGTTCAAGGTGGGGTGTGGGGAGGGGGGCCCTAACCACTGGCCCCCACGGCCTGATGGCAGTTTGGTGAGCTGAGCTGCGCTGCCCCCTCTAGATGGGGCATGTGTTTTCTGGTCACCATGTCTTGTACTTCTTTTTGTTACCCGCTTGGCCCCTAGAGGCTCTGAGTTTGCAAACCCTTGGTGTGCAGAGGGTACTCATTGCTTCCCAGGGCAAGGACAGGAGACACAAAGGAGCTCTTGGAGGCTGTGAAGGGGAGGGAGGTCCGTGGAGTCCGGGATCAGGGGACCCTCCTGCCCCCTGCTTGGCAGTGTCCCAAGTGGCGGTCAGAGTCTGGGATGGATGGACAGTGTGGGTGGGGAGGCGGAACCCAGAACCCAGCAAGACTTTCTGCGCCCTCACTTGGCTTGGGGGCAGGGGCTGCTGGACTGCAGGGGTCACGGAAAGCTTGGGCGCTGCAGCCAGAGGCCTCCCATGGTCCATCCGGCACCAGGGAGAGGCCCGGGCTTCCCTCATTGTCCCCTGGCAGAGAGTAACCTCCATTAAGTGTAGAGGTTGAATTTCTCTCCAGTGTAGAAGGGTTGGGGTGGGGGTGAGGGGTTCAGGTAGGAGCAGAATTTGGTTTTTGAGAAAATACAAAAATGAATATTTCTTACACACCTGAGTTTGGAAGTGAAGATCACATATGATGTAACAATTTGCAATTTTTAAAAATTATTTCTGCTTTTATAGTTTTCTTTTTTGGTTTGTGCCCTGCATTTGACTGTGAGCCCCTTGAGGGCAGAACAATGCACGATGTTCACTGGTGTTCATACTGTGCACCTACTGTCTGGAGAGTGTTGGGCACATAGTAGATGGTCAATAATCATCATGATACTTGCAATGCACATTCACGGAGTACTTACTTCCCAGACACTGCATTTAACATTTAATTATATTAACTAACTCACTGAATCCTTTCATCACCCTATGGAGCAGCAGGCATCTTCATTGTCCTTACATTGAACATGAAGAATCTGAGGTACAGAGAGGCTGAATAATTTTCCCAAGGTCACACAGCTTGGGTTGTGTCTAATAGATATTAATTGAATGTATGGATGAGTGAATGACTGGAGTGTGTGGAGCTCTGTTTCTTCTAGTCTGTCCCTCCTTTTCCACAGCTGTGTTCCACTGGATTGGAATGACATGGGCCAGACCCAGGCAGGAGACTGTCTCAGGGCCTTCAGCAAGTCCCTGAGGCCTGTGGAGCGACGTCCTCATCCTGGAACTGGTGACTGACCCTTTGCAATCACTCTACTTCCAGCCTACTCTCTTCATCGCCAGCATTATACCCTATGCCTCAACACTACTCAGAAGTTCTAGATTCTTTCAGCCTCTCTGTGCCAGGACCATCCTTCCAATCCCAAGATTCCAGTATTCTAAAAGGAGAAACTAGGAAGGGAGGCCAGTTCCTGAAGCCACACCATCCCTTGTTTAGTGATACTAAAATGCTAGATCTCATCAGGTCCCCAGCAGCCTTATTGTGGCGGTGCTGAAGGAGGCGACTGTAGAACAGTATTCTCATTCCATCTCTCTGGTCGGAATACTGAGTCCCAGAGAGGAGAAGGGACTTGATAAAATCAAAGTAGGGAAATCAGACTCAGAGCCATGTTAGAATCTGGGTTACTGGCCTCACAGCCCAGAGCCCTTTCCACAACAGGACAGCAACTCTGGTACACAGAGAACCAGGCCTGACTACCCAAAAAAGAGCTCCTTGATTCTGAGCCATTACTGCTCCCAGTTCCACCACTGAAGACCACTTCTTTCTGGGGCAAAGACGATAGAAGGCTTTTGTCTTCAGGGAGCCCCAGCTAATGACAAAAATCCCTGAGATGAGTCCTGTGCTAAGCTCATGTCAGGCTGTTCCCAGGAGGAAGAGCTGGCTGACAGGCAGCCAAGAGTGAGATGCCGTGGGAAGGATATCCTGACTGAGGGCTGGAGGAATGTGGGAAGCACCAAGGCAGGCAGAAAAACAGGGGCAGGGGTGAGGGTGTCAGCCATGGAGAGGGTGAGGCGGACTCAGGAAACTTGGCTTCACTACAGACTTGCTGTGCGATGTTGGGCAAGTGTCCTTCCTACTCAGAGCTGTGATCTGGGTCAGTGCTATGGAACAGCTTGCCTCTGAGTTTATCATGAGGCTCTTGGGGTCAGGAAGTCGGGGCCCCAGGGAGGTAGTTGCCATGACAACTATCTCTGTGGAGATAGTGACCAAGGAGACTGTTGTCATGACTATGATTTGTAGCACAAGGTACAAGAGCCAAGTGATTGGCTATTGTTCTGCTTTGAGACAGGTTTCTCCCCATCACCTCCTTTCATTACCCGCTTAAGTTCAGTGTTTGTGGGGCCAGGGAAGTTGACACCCGAAGGAGGTGTGGGGAGTCAGAGACCTGTGTCCTAAGGCTTTCTCTTATACCGACAGGCCGTGTGACCTCCGGCAAGCCTCAGCTTCTCTCTGGGCCTTCGTTTCCTCATCTGGAAAATGAAGAGTTTGCACAAGGTCCCTTCACCTCTAGATTTCTATCAATTTGCCTTTAAACAAGAGATAACATTTTAAACCAAGGGGTTGTTTCCAGGAATGAGATGAAAAGTAGTGACAACTGTTGTGACCATGACCTGCTGACCTATCCACACAGACCCGGGCTGCTCTGCTATGGCAAATGCCACTCCTATACTAGCTGTAAGTGGGGAGATCTGGGTGGTCCCAGAGGAGGGTGTGGAGTGGCCACTATGCTTGGGGGGATCTTGGAGGGCACTCAGGATAGGGGTTACTAACAACTGGTAGGAATGCATCTACATATTTTGACAACTAGTATGGCCATACCTTTGCATACTGGCTGAACAGCAGCCTTGGTCATATCTATAATGGTTGAATTACAGGCACATAAGTAGTGAAGGGAGATTTTTCTGAGCAGAGGGGCCACACTGTGTCACAGAGACCAGGCCACTGATGATGCTGATGGCTCTCAAGCCCAAGCCTTGGTCAAGATCTCCGAGAGTAGGATCACGTCTCTTCCTGGCCACGACACTTTCCTGAATCACTGTACATGGCTCCCAGAGAGCCGGATCTGCCAGCATCTCAATTCCAGGATGGCTGGTGCCCAGACAAGTGGGCAGGGCCCAGTGGCAGGGGGCAGAGCGGGAGCCCGCGGAGGAAGCAGGGAGCTTGAGGGATGCCTGCTTCTCCTCTCCCAGGAGACCAGGCCCTGGGCAGATGCCAGACCCTCGGCTTCCCAGATCTGCTCCTTTCCCCACCCCCAGGCCCAGCATCCCCACCCCCTTGCCTCTCCCAGCAGGACTCTGCAAACAGCTCCTCCGGATGGACGCGGCTGCTGCCTCCTCCCTGCACACTTTCCGTTCCCAGCCCTGAGCCTCGGCCAGGTTCTTCAGGAAAATTGGCTGAAAGAGACATTTTCCATGCTCCTGACTCCTCTGCCGGGTAGCTGTCCCTGCCTCCACTCTCTCCAGTCTCTTCTCCAGCTGGTCACCCAGACTCAGAAGGAGGGGGATACTGGGCCAACTGGTTGCTGCGCACTCACCATTTAATTTTATGTGTTATTTTATCTCTCTGGGCCTCAGTTTCCTAATCTGTGAAAAGAGCTAGCTACCCTGGGGAACAGGCTTGGGAGTCAGACATTCCTAAGTTAACTCTTAGCTCTGCTGGTTACTCATTGTGCGACTTTTGAACAGTGACTAAGCATCTCAGAGCCACCGCTTTCCCCATCTCTAAGACGGTGTTGTCTTATTGTTGTGAAGGTTAATGAAATAATCTGAGAAAAGGGCTTAACTCATCGCTTTGCACATGGTAAGGGCTCAATGAATACCTGTTTTGAAAAAATTGTTCTTAGTGTCTACTAGATGCCAGATGCTGTGGTAGGTGCTTTACACATCTGATTTCTAATCCATGGCACACCTGTGCCAAGTGCTTGTCTTCCCTTTGTGAAGCTGAGGGTCCAAAGGGTGAGTGAGGTGAAGTAACTTACCCAAGATCACGCAGATGTCAAATTGTGGAGCCAGAGGGATTCAAACTCAGGTCTGATGCCAGATTTCCTGTTCTAACCAAGGCTCCGGTAGCTGAAGAAAGAACACCCCTCCTCTCCAGGCAGGTGAAGAGTGAAAAAGCTGACCCTAAGAATTTAATACAGCCCTTAGAAGCTGTACTCTCAAAGCTGCACTGGGGTTTGGGCAGCTAAGGGGCCTGACAATACTCAACTTTGTTATGATCAGGGAAGTGCAAAGTAAGCGATGAGACACCTTTTTTCCCAAACTGCCCGCCTCTTGTCCCCAAGAGGATGTCAGATGAGAAAGGATAATGTGGGTCATGGTGTGGGGAACTGGGCGCTATTGGTCTGAATATAAACAAAAACAGTCCTTTTAGAGGGTAATTTGTCAGTGTTTGTCAAAATGTAAAATATACATGCTCTTTGAACTACTAAGTTTGAATTTGGTCATTTCTCCTAAGTGTGCAAGAATATTCACTGCTTGTAAGGGCAAACCATTTACATTAACCTAAATGTCCTTCAATGGGTAAAAGATGTATATCCATACTGTATAATGTTTTGCAGCCAGAAAGAAAAGCAAGGTAAAGAAAAAAATGAACAGACTGAAAGGAGAAATGGATGCATCACAATTACAACTGGAGATTTCAATACTCCTTCCTCAGCAATTGGCAAAATAAGTAGGCATAAAATCATGAAGTTCCTGGAACACTTGGACAGCAATATCAATCACCTTGACCTAAAACTGACATTTTTAGAACACTGCACCAACGACAGAACAAATATTATTTTCAAGTGCACATGGAACATGGATCATGATAGACCATATGCTGAACTATAAAACAAGTCTCAAATTGGCAACTGTATTAAATAAGAAACCAATAACAAAAAGATATATGGAAAGCCCCTAAATATTTAGAAATTAAACAGTATACTTCTGAATAACCTATTTGAAGAAGAAACCACAGGGGAAATTAGAGATATTGAGCTGAATGATAATGGAAACACAGCATACCAAAATTTGCAGGCTGCATCTAGAGCAGTACTTAGAGGGAAATTTATAGCTTTATATAAATTATAGAGCTTTTTCTAATATAGCTTTAAATGTTTAGAAAAGAAGAAAGTTCTCAAATAAATGATCTAAGTTTCTATCTTAAGACACTAGAATAAGAACAAAATAAATCTCAAAATAACAAGGTAATTTTGTATATACTGGCATGGATAGAAAGCCAGGATAAATTGGGTAAAAAAAGCAAATTATACCTAATATGTACATATCATGGCAGAGATTGCTTGTTGCCTCTTAATGTCCATTCTTCCCTTCCTGAAACAGAGAATCCCTTATTTCTGAGCTGGCACATGGCTATTTGGAATAAATCACTTATCCTAGACTCCTTTGCAATTAAGTATGGTGGTGTGGCTAAGCACTGGCCAATGATATGTATTTGGAGATAATGTGTGCATCTTCAAGAGGTTGTGCCTGTTTTTTTTTGGTTCCTTCCCACTTCCTGCTGGCTGGAATGTGGATAAGATGGCTGCAGCTTGTGCAGCATATTGTACTGAGGATGGTGGAACCACAAGATAGAAGGAGCCAGGGTCCTGGTACTGTGGAATGCCAGGCCAGCATTCCACTGCCTGCTTCTAAACTTCTTTTATATGAGAGAAATATACTTCTATATTGTTTCCATCACTGCTATTTTAAGCTTCATTCCTTGCAACTGAACTCAGTCTCAGTGCATAGACCTATAATCCCATTTATGTGAAAATATAGGAAACATATCTCTGTATGTATATCGATTGGGTGAATTAGACTTTGGTACAGAAATCCCCAAGATAATTTTCCTTAGTGCTGAAGATTTATGATTCTACGTAACATAAAGCTCAGAGGTGGGGAACCTTTGGGTGTGGTTAGTTCAGTGAGGTGACTTCGTCATCAAGGACTTGATACTTGCCATCTTTCTGCTTTGCCATCCTCTGACTGGATCTTGTCATAACTGCAAGAGGGTGGCTACAGTTCCAAGTTTCACATTCATACATGTCAATGACCAGTAGATGGAAAGGGACTGTCTCTTCCTGCTGCAGCTCTTTATTTGTTTTATTTTCAGCTGTTTTTAATAGCAAAGAAACTTTTTCTAGAACTCTCCAGCCATCCTTCCCTCATGCCTCATTGGCCATAGCTGGGGTATAGGTCTATCTTTCAACCAGAGCAAAATTGTGGCTCTCACGGTGTGGAAGAAAAAGACAATGGTCAAATGTCTGCTACAATGTAATGTGACTGACTGGGGGAGAATGGAAGGGCTTCCATGGCAAATACTAAAGTTGCTATCCAACGACTCTCACGCACTTCTCCTTTGCTCACAAAGCCATCTTGTTAGAGCAGCAAAGGGATGAATCATGATTGGCCCAAGCCAGGTGACAGTCTCATTCCTTTATGCCAGATAGTTGCTTTCTCAGCCTCCCTTGTAGCTAGATGTGACCATGTGCCTCAGTTTAGTGAGATATGGAAGCAAACTTCTGGAAGAGTAATTTCTTCCTTGATAACAAATAAACCTCTTTCTGCCCCCACCTCTTCCAGTTTTTCTTGGGATGCTGTTGTGAGGATGTGACACTTGGAGTTGTAGCCATATTGCAGCCCTGAGGGAAATTCCTGGAGAATTATGGAGATGCAAGCCCAGGGTCTTGGCATTTTAAAGCTGATGAATCAACCTTAAAATTGCCTACTTCTGGACAGCTTGTGGAAAATATCCTTATAAGGATTTCTATCATATGTAGCTGAGGACAACTTAACACATAAATACATCTTTATTTTTTTACCATATGTTTTCTATTGCTTTGATTTATTCTTATAATTAAAATGTACTATTTTTGTAATTCAAAGTTCAATTGAAAAAATATGCCACTTGGCATTGGGCACCTTTGGTATCCCAATGGGCTTGAAGAGGCACTCTTGGGAAGCGGGTAGGGAGGGGGTTGAACAAAAGGAACAAGCTGTTCTTTATAATTAAGTACTAACTTCATGGTATGAGGAGTGACCTTGTGGACTGGGGGATGGCTGAGAATACATTTGTCTGTCGCTATTTGGGTTTAGATCAGAGGTTACAAATTGTCAGCCTCTGGTCAGAATTTGGCTGGTGGGCATCTTTTGCTTCTCCTGCTCAGAGTTTTTAGAAATTGGAATTAGCAAGAATTATTTAGGAATTATTTAAGGACACTTCACATAAATATGTGGCTTGCTGGCTTCCCCCAAAATGCAAGTATCTGGGCAACACTGGGTCATACCCTAGCAGCAGGAAGAGGCTGCTCAGTCCTGCTGCTCCCTCTCAGCAGGGCAGGTGGTTTCAGTTTGCCACAGAACCTGATGCTCTCCAATGTCTTCTCCCAGTCTAATTCACTGATTTATATTACCTGACTGTGAGCATTTGAGTTAGTGACCCCTGGTTTAGGGCTTAGAATTAATGCTTATGTGTGTGTGAGTGTAAGATTCAATAAATGCTTCCCAGACAATTGGGCATGTAAAAGGCATTTATCCCTATTCACACAGGGGGCCAGTCCTAGAAGAGGACTGGTTAGGAGTGGTCACACTCACTCTGGACTGTTCTGTAAGACTAGAAGAGCTAAGAGCACCCTTGACTGTATTGCTGGGGCACCTGGGGTCTCAGGCCAGGCCCAATAACTCAGACTTCTGAAGATGTACTGCTGGGGACAGGGGTCATTCTGAGGCAAGACCTGTATCTGTGGAGAGAGAAGAGGCTTTTCTGAAAGCTGGATGGAGATCTGCCTGGTGGAAGTCTGAAGAAGTTGGTACTTGAGGACAGAAGCATGGATGGAGTTGAGGTAGAATGAGGAAGATCACACTCTGGGGATGGTGTTCCAGAGCCCCCAACATTCCACTAGGAGGCAACCCCTTTAATTTAGGGCTTTCTCTATTTGTTCACTAGAACAAGATTGAGTGTGTGTTTGTGTGGGGGCAGAGTGAAGACCCAGTCACCACCTTCTATGTCTTCCACTCTATCTTGCTTTTAAGGCAGAATAGCAGCTCCCCAGAATGTCCATGTCATAATTGCTGGAACCTGCAAATATGTTTTACGTTGCATGGCAAGGAGGAATTAAGGTCACAGACAAAATTAAGTTCGCTAATACACTGACTTTAAGATAGGGAGGCTATCCTGGACTATCCGGGTGGGCTCAATGTAACCACAAGGGTGGAAGAGGGAGAACCAGAGACGGCAGAAGGAGATGAACTTGGCTACCTTTGAAGATGGAAGGAGTCACAAGCCAAGGAAAGTGACTGGCCTCTAGAAGCTAGGAAAGGCAAGGAAACAGATTCTTTCCTAGAGTTTCCAGAAAGGAATGCAGCCTGGCCAACACCTTGGTTTTAGCCCAGTGACACCCTCACTGAACTTCTATTCTACAGAATGGTAAGATACTAAATTTGTGCTATTTTAAGCCACCAAGTTTGTGGTGATTTGTTGCGGTGGCAATAGGAAATAAATACACCAGGCCACTTGGAAGGGCCACGTGTAGGTGAGATTCCAGCTACTGCCAGTGTCAACTTGCCAGTGTCCAGACAGGTGAGTGAGGACACCAGACATGTGAGATAACGCCAGCCACTCTAGTCTGTGACTTTCCCAGCTGAGGCCCCAGAGAGGAGCTCTACCCACTTTGCTCTGCCCAATTCCTGACTCACAAAACCTGAGTATAATAAAATGATTGTTTTTATGCTACTAAGCTTTGGGGTGGTTTATTATGCAGCATAGTTACTGGAACAGTGTTCTGTCTTAGCCTTGAAGTTGAACCAGATGGAACTGGGGAAACTGCACACACTGCTGAACTCAGAGTTCCCATCCCATCATTGTATTATTTTTAACTGAACCCTGAACTGAACAGAAGGAAACACTGCTGAAATTGAAACTGAACTTGTGTATTTTTTCAAGCTGTTTAGTTAGAATATTCAAATATTCTTGAGACAGAGACAGTCACACAGAGAATTCTACCCTAATGCCTTCACTCTGTTTATTTTGATTTGTCTAAGGTCACACAGTCACGGTAGAGCTGAGAGATTCTTAATCCTTATAAAGCAGCCAGCTGTGACCCTCTCTACCCTCCTTACCTTCCTTCAGAGCACACACACTTGTCAAAGTTTGCTGAATAAAGGAAGGCTTGTGCTGCCCCTGTGGGACATAAATTTCCCACCATCCAAGAACAGGCGGTTCCAGCCTGAATCGGATTTCTTGGAGGTCCCTGAGTGGAAGCTTCATGCCCCTGGCTGAGAAGCTGGAACTTTCCATCAAGGCCAGTGGTCCTCAGTATTGGAGCAGCCTGGCTGGGGCGGGTAGGGGTCCAGATGGCCTTCATCTCATCTGGATCCCAGTTTGTGGCCCTTCCCCACAGCAAGAGGGGGTTGGTACTCTGGAGAGACCCGCGGCCCCTGGGGAGACATTAATCTTTCCAGAGCTTTATCATTTTTTCCATAACACTACTCGCCCTTTAAGGTGGAAAGTCCCCGTGGGCAGCTGAAGATACTCTCAGTGTGCTTTTGTTCTCTGTCCTGCTCCAGACAGGCAGCAGCCGGCTGGGCAAAGACACCTCCCTCCCCTTTATACCGGCCTGCTCTGGACTTGATACCAACAGATGGTGCAATATAGCTAAGCCATCATACCCTGTGACGATTCCTGGGTTCAATTCTTGGCTCTGCTGTTTGCTAACTACAAACTTGGCAGGGTACTGAACCTTTCTGTACCACAGTGTCTCCACCTGAAAACTGGCATGGGGATATAGCCAGTTCTGAGGATGTAATGTATGAAAAGCACTTGGCACTGCCCTTGGTACACAGTGAGAGGGATGTGACTGTTTGTTGGTATTATTACGTGGCCTTGGGCAAGTCATCTCCTTTCTCTGGGCCTCAGTTTCCCCAATGAAGATAGCAGTTGCTACCTGATCTGGGTACGAACCCTGACTACCCTTTCTTGCTGTGTGTCCTTGGACAAATTTCTTGGGTTCTCTTAGCCTCAATGTGCTCATCTGTTTAGTGGCACTTATTAAGTAGATTGTTGTGGTGATGATGAAATAAGAACATGTGTACCAAGCATGTAGCATGGGGCCCAGCACACAGAAAGAGCTAAAATAAAGTTGTTTTTTTTTTTGGTTTGTTTTTACGAGTGAGAAAGAACTTCCTAAACTATGATGGGCTGCATCCCTGAGTAATGTGGTTTTTTCAGATGCTTTCCCAGCCATGGCTTATTCACAGACTCCTAGAATCAGAGAGGTCAGGAACGGAAGGGCCATTTTACAGATCAGTTAATCAATCCAGTCAGCAAATATTTATGGTCACTTACTGTGAGCCAGGCACTGTTGTAGGTGCTGGGGAGAGAGCAGCGTTGAGGGCCCTGCTTTCATTCCTGAGGGGAAGGCAGACAGTAAACATGTGAGCACATGAACATGTAATACAAGTTCAGATTCAATCCCTTTATTTTACAGGTGGGGAAACTGAGGCCCAAGAGGTGAAGAGATTTGCCTAAAGTTCTCTAGTGTCATAGCAGGGCAAAGACTCTGAGCAAGGTTTCACAGTCTCAGAATACCCAGACCTTAACAAATCCTGATTTCCCCAAGGTCTAAGGTTATGAGAAAGGTAAGCAATATTTACTGAATCTTCCTAGACCCAGGAACTGTTTTAAGTATTTTACATGTTTTAAGTCATTTAATTCTCATATCAACCCTGAGGGTGGGAAGTGTCATGAATCTTATTTTATAGGTGGGGAAACTAAGGCCCAGAGAGATGGAGGGTAGCAGAGTTTGAACATAGGTCCCCTGGTTCAGGGCCCCTGACCTCAATGGCTGTGCTGTCTGGCTGTTTTGGCGGCCTACTCCCCCTGGATCCATGTTCTTTCTTTCCTTCTCTCCCCTTCTGAGGGAAGGCCTCAGAACTATCTACCTCGCCCCCACCCCTGGTCTCAACACTTTCTTCCACACTGAGTAACCTGGGATAAGCCCTCTCCCTCTCCAGCCCTCAGTTTCCCCATCTGTGAATTGGGAGGATGGCACTGGATTATCTTCAGGGCCTCCCAGGACCACGCTGAGTTTTGGCCCCTTATCTGTTTGTGACCATTTTACTCACTTGTTTTCTAGTCTGCTTTCCCCACGACTGTGAGCTCCAGGAGCAGCAGGCCACTCCTGCTCACACTACCTCCCCAGAGCCTGGCACCACGCTCTGCACTTAGTAGGCCCTCAGTAAGTACCTGTGGATGAAGAAAGGAAGGAATGATGGCAACTAAACCCAGCTTTCTCAGAAGCAGGCTTGCACTCTCTCCCTGTCCCCTCTTCCTTTCTCAGCCTGAGGGGCCCCCTCCCTCTCTCTCACCTCCCAGGGCCGACTCAGGCCCTTCATCCGGCCTGCATTTTTCCGGGTTTGATATCATTTTTTCCACTCTCCCGGCTGCTGCTGGCTGCCCCTGCCAACTTTCCACAACTACAGCCCCTCCCCCATGACCGCAGGCCAGAGAGAGCTTGGGGTGAGGGAAGACCCTCCTCCTCTTTCCTTACCCAGGCCGGAGTTGGGATGGGGAAGTAAGTGCCATCCGCGCCTCGCTGGCGAGATTGGGGAGTGAAACCATAGGATATGGCTCCCCTGCCCAAGCTTAGGTTTTCCTTGGCACTGTGTTCCTGGTGGCTTGGACATGGCCCACGTCGGGGGCTGAGGCATCTGGGCAGGCAGCTGGTTGGGGGCAGGGGTGTCAGGCATCAGGGACACTATGGTCAAAACCGTTTGCATCTTGTTTTCCTCTCAAAGTAATGACACCTCTTCTCCTAAGGCTGGAAACTTCTGACCTGACCCCTAAGGCCCAGCCCCAGCCAGGCTGGATGCCTCACTACCTCCTACTTCCTGCACAGTCATAGGAGGAGGCTGGGCCCTAGGGTGTAGTGCTCATTTCCGCTGGCTGGGTGACCCTGGGATGCTCGCTTTTTCTCTCTGGGCTTTGGTTTCTACTTTTGGAAAAATGAGTGAGCTGGACTAAATTGGGGGTCCATCGGGGGGATTAATGGATTTAGTTTTTATGATGGAGTCCATGCCTCCACCCCAAAATTGTATGCAAAATTGTGTTTGAAAGTCCATATTTGTGGGACTTTGTCACATTTTCCAAGAGGTCTGTGGATAAGTTGGACACAACTCTAGTCTGATAAGCCCAGGTTAGAATCCTGTACACTTACTTCACTTACAGTAGCTGTGTGAGCCTTCACCTCCAGTGCCTGTTTTCCAATTAGTAAACAGGTGCTGTGAAGATTGATTAACAGTTGCAACAGCTTAGTACACAGCTCACAACAAACATCAGCTATTACATTGCCAGGATGAGTGCTAAGGTTCCTTACAGATAATATTTTATGAATCTAATCTAAAAAACAAGTTAATGAGGTTATCACACTTAACTGTGGTTATTTGTACTCTGCTGGGTCTCCCTTAAAGACAGGGGTCAGGGTGTGGGGATGGGGGTGGCAGGGGCCGCATCCAGTGGCTGGGAGAGGGCTTGAACACTCAACTGATCCGGTGATTTTCCTGACTGCCCTGACCCTAGTCTGCAGGCTAATCCAGTCTGCAGCTAGTATAGATGAGAGAGTGGGGGGTGGAGATGCCTGGAAGAGCCCCAAACTAGAGGTCTGGTCATTCAGACAGGACATCTTCATGGTCTGGTTTATTGTGTAGGGGGGAGGTTCTGAGGGTTGGCCAGAAAGGGACAAGGAAGATTTTTACAAAACGAAACGCACCACATAAAAAACCCCTCTGTGCCCAGCTTGTGCCCATAGTCTGTCCATCACTTTCCGGGGTGGACGGGTCCCTGCAGCCGCAGCTCTGGTTAGCTGCTCTGGCTCTCCGTGCAGCGATCAGGCAAGGCCACGATGTGGACTCCAGGCAACCGTGCCTTTGCCCCTTGGGGAGCCCAGAATGCACCCAGTGTTCCGCTTCCCCCCGTGGGGTGGGGGGCCTCAGAGCACGGCCAGGTTGTGGCAGGACTTGGAGCGGGCCTTCAGAGCCCGGCGGGCGCTGCGGGCTGTCAGGCGTGTCAGGAAGTGGCGAGCGCGCTGGCCCAGACTCGCCCTACGTCGGGGCACCGGGGACACCCGGGCCGCGCTGTCCCGGCGGCGCAAGCGCAGTTGGCGCACCACGCCCTCGAAGAGCTCCGCCACGTTGTGCTGCAGCGTGGCTGACGTTTCGATGAACTTGCAGTCGAACACCACGGCGCAGGCGCGGCCCTCTAATGGAGCGGGGGTGGAGGAGGGAATAAAGGCAGGAAGAGGTGTGTTTAGTTTCAACGTGAAACTTTTTTTCATTTGCCCATACGTTGTGTTGGGTGCCAGGGAACTCGGAGATAAATCAGACCCGGCTTTGATGAGTTAATTCACAGGCTAGTTACTAATACAGGCAGAGTAAGGCTGGGAAGGCAGTGAGGCTGGGACCTGGTAGGAAAGGGTCTTGAATGTCAGGTAAGGGGTTTAATCTGTGCATCAGAATTATTTGGGGGAGCCTGTGAAAAAGTAGATTCCTGAGCCCACCTTCAGAGATTCTGATTCAGTAGCTTTGGATGAGGACTGGGAACCTTCTTTGGATAAATCTAGGCATTATGTTGTGGAATTTTGGGGTGTGTGCTCACAAAGCATATGGTCTTCCATCTCCAGGGGTCCACCACGCTGAGAGGCATGGGCCTCTGTTCCAGTCCTCAGGGTCTGGGGACTCTGGAACTGGTATCCCCTCTCTGGGTCCCAGTTGCCATATTTTTTAGATTTTGCCCTGTGAGTAGTGACAGTTTAAGATCTCTATGGGTCCCACCTTTTATATAAATGTATTAAAATATTCCTTCTCCCTCTTTAAATACACTGGTATGTAATTTTAAACATTTGGTTTGCAGTTACTGGCTGACATGTTTTGTAGATGATTAAAGCTTTGTGAAATTTGAATTCTCCGTGAACAATTGCCTTTTTGCAGGTCTCAGATGGAAACCCTTGAAAAACTTGTAGGCACTGGGCCTATTATGCCTGGTGACGAAGGGCATGAGGGGCTATAGCAAAGCAGTGGCGAGGTCAGATTGAGTTCTGGAAAACTCTGACAGTGGAGAGGGGAACCTACTGAGTGGGGATAGAGAAGTACAGGAGCAGGCCCAGGCTAAGGTGGAGGTGCCAGGGTGGGGCAGAGGCTGTGGGCATGGGGGAAAGGGAATGTGGGGTTATGGGAGGAGGACCTGAAGGACTTAGGGCCTTGTTTGGGAGAGTGAGAGTGGGGAAAAGAATGGGTCCTAGCTTTTGGGCTTAGGCAAGTAGATGCAGGATGATGTGGGTGACAGTCACTGAAATGAAGAGCGCTGGAGGAGGGGCAGTGACAGTGGGGGCAGAGAGGAGGATGGAGGAGGAGGGGGGCGAAGAGCTCACCTTCCACGGAGACTTCCCGGCAGCGTGCCAGGTCTGCCTTGTTGCCCACAAGGATGATGGGCACGTGGTCTGCCTGATGTGTGCGCCGCAGCTGAATGCGGAGCTCTGAGGCGCTCTCGAAGCTGCCTCTGTCCGCAATGGAGTACACAATAACGTAGGCGCTGCCCACCTGCAGGCATGAATCCTGGCTCCAGCTTTCATCCTGTAGGGGAGGGACCGCAGGCACATCCTGAGAGGGTACCTAGACCCTGGCTGAGAAAGGGTGGGGCTGGGATAGGCTGATGGATGGGACAGAGCTGAAGTTTATACTTTGGACAGATTTGGGGGACAAATTCTGCGGTTATTCCCTTTGTCATCTTGGGAAAACCATCGATTCTTTTTCACAGTCTCAGAATACCCAGACCTTAACAAATCCTGATTTCCCCAAGGTCTAAGGTTATGAGAAAGGTAAGCAATATTTACTGAATCTTCCTAGACCCAGGAACTGTTTTAAGTATTTTACATGTTTTAAGTCATTTAATTCTCATATCAACCCTGAGGGTGGGAAGTGTCATGAATCTTATTTTATAGGTGGGGAAACTAAGGCCCAGAGAGATGGAGGGTAGCAGAGTTTGAACATAGGTCCCCTGGTTCAGGGCCCCTGACCTCAATGGCTGTGCTGTCTGGCTGTTTTGGCGGCCTACTCCCCCTGGATCCATGTTCTTTCTTTCCTTCTCTCCCCTTCTGAGGGAAGGCCTCAGAACTATCTACCTCGCCCCCACCCCTGGTCTCAACACTTTCTTCCACACTGAGTAACCTGGGATAAGCCCTCTCCCTCTCCAGCCCTCAGTTTCCCCATCTGTGAATTGGGAGGATGGCACTGGATTATCTTCAGGGCCTCCCAGGACCACGCTGAGTTTTGGCCCCTTATCTGTTTGTGACCATTTTACTCACTTGTTTTCTAGTCTGCTTTCCCCACGACTGTGAGCTCCAGGAGCAGCAGGCCACTCCTGCTCACACTACCTCCCCAGAGCCTGGCACCACGCTCTGCACTTAGTAGGCCCTCAGTAAGTACCTGTGGATGAAGAAAGGAAGGAATGATGGCAACTAAACCCAGCTTTCTCAGAAGCAGGCTTGCACTCTCTCCCTGTCCCCTCTTCCTTTCTCAGCCTGAGGGGCCCCCTCCCTCTCTCTCACCTCCCAGGGCCGACTCAGGCCCTTCATCCGGCCTGCATTTTTCCGGGTTTGATATCATTTTTTCCACTCTCCCGGCTGCTGCTGGCTGCCCCTGCCAACTTTCCACAACTACAGCCCCTCCCCCATGACCGCAGGCCAGAGAGAGCTTGGGGTGAGGGAAGACCCTCCTCCTCTTTCCTTACCCAGGCCGGAGTTGGGATGGGGAAGTAAGTGCCATCCGCGCCTCGCTGGCGAGATTGGGGAGTGAAACCATAGGATATGGCTCCCCTGCCCAAGCTTAGGTTTTCCTTGGCACTGTGTTCCTGGTGGCTTGGACATGGCCCACGTCGGGGGCTGAGGCATCTGGGCAGGCAGCTGGTTGGGGGCAGGGGTGTCAGGCATCAGGGACACTATGGTCAAAACCGTTTGCATCTTGTTTTCCTCTCAAAGTAATGACACCTCTTCTCCTAAGGCTGGAAACTTCTGACCTGACCCCTAAGGCCCAGCCCCAGCCAGGCTGGATGCCTCACTACCTCCTACTTCCTGCACAGTCATAGGAGGAGGCTGGGCCCTAGGGTGTAGTGCTCATTTCCGCTGGCTGGGTGACCCTGGGATGCTCGCTTTTTCTCTCTGGGCTTTGGTTTCTACTTTTGGAAAAATGAGTGAGCTGGACTAAATTGGGGGTCCATCGGGGGGATTAATGGATTTAGTTTTTATGATGGAGTCCATGCCTCCACCCCAAAATTGTATGCAAAATTGTGTTTGAAAGTCCATATTTGTGGGACTTTGTCACATTTTCCAAGAGGTCTGTGGATAAGTTGGACACAACTCTAGTCTGATAAGCCCAGGTTAGAATCCTGTACACTTACTTCACTTACAGTAGCTGTGTGAGCCTTCACCTCCAGTGCCTGTTTTCCAATTAGTAAACAGGTGCTGTGAAGATTGATTAACAGTTGCAACAGCTTAGTACACAGCTCACAACAAACATCAGCTATTACATTGCCAGGATGAGTGCTAAGGTTCCTTACAGATAATATTTTATGAATCTAATCTAAAAAACAAGTTAATGAGGTTATCACACTTAACTGTGGTTATTTGTACTCTGCTGGGTCTCCCTTAAAGACAGGGGTCAGGGTGTGGGGATGGGGGTGGCAGGGGCCGCATCCAGTGGCTGGGAGAGGGCTTGAACACTCAACTGATCCGGTGATTTTCCTGACTGCCCTGACCCTAGTCTGCAGGCTAATCCAGTCTGCAGCTAGTATAGATGAGAGAGTGGGGGGTGGAGATGCCTGGAAGAGCCCCAAACTAGAGGTCTGGTCATTCAGACAGGACATCTTCATGGTCTGGTTTATTGTGTAGGGGGGAGGTTCTGAGGGTTGGCCAGAAAGGGACAAGGAAGATTTTTACAAAACGAAACGCACCACATAAAAAACCCCTCTGTGCCCAGCTTGTGCCCATAGTCTGTCCATCACTTTCCGGGGTGGACGGGTCCCTGCAGCCGCAGCTCTGGTTAGCTGCTCTGGCTCTCCGTGCAGCGATCAGGCAAGGCCACGATGTGGACTCCAGGCAACCGTGCCTTTGCCCCTTGGGGAGCCCAGAATGCACCCAGTGTTCCGCTTCCCCCCGTGGGGTGGGGGGCCTCAGAGCACGGCCAGGTTGTGGCAGGACTTGGAGCGGGCCTTCAGAGCCCGGCGGGCGCTGCGGGCTGTCAGGCGTGTCAGGAAGTGGCGAGCGCGCTGGCCCAGACTCGCCCTACGTCGGGGCACCGGGGACACCCGGGCCGCGCTGTCCCGGCGGCGCAAGCGCAGTTGGCGCACCACGCCCTCGAAGAGCTCCGCCACGTTGTGCTGCAGCGTGGCTGACGTTTCGATGAACTTGCAGTCGAACACCACGGCGCAGGCGCGGCCCTCTAATGGAGCGGGGGTGGAGGAGGGAATAAAGGCAGGAAGAGGTGTGTTTAGTTTCAACGTGAAACTTTTTTTCATTTGCCCATACGTTGTGTTGGGTGCCAGGGAACTCGGAGATAAATCAGACCCGGCTTTGATGAGTTAATTCACAGGCTAGTTACTAATACAGGCAGAGTAAGGCTGGGAAGGCAGTGAGGCTGGGACCTGGTAGGAAAGGGTCTTGAATGTCAGGTAAGGGGTTTAATCTGTGCATCAGAATTATTTGGGGGAGCCTGTGAAAAAGTAGATTCCTGAGCCCACCTTCAGAGATTCTGATTCAGTAGCTTTGGATGAGGACTGGGAACCTTCTTTGGATAAATCTAGGCATTATGTTGTGGAATTTTGGGGTGTGTGCTCACAAAGCATATGGTCTTCCATCTCCAGGGGTCCACCACGCTGAGAGGCATGGGCCTCTGTTCCAGTCCTCAGGGTCTGGGGACTCTGGAACTGGTATCCCCTCTCTGGGTCCCAGTTGCCATATTTTTTAGATTTTGCCCTGTGAGTAGTGACAGTTTAAGATCTCTCTGGGTCCCACCTTTTATATAAATGTATTAAAATATTCCTTCTCCCTCTTTAAATACACTGGTATGTAATTTTAAACATTTGGTTTGCAGTTACTGGCTGACATGTTTTGTAGATGATTAAAGCTTTGTGAAATTTGAATTCTCCGTGAACAATTGCCTTTTTGCAGGTCTCAGATGGAAACCCTTGAAAAACTTGTAGGCACTGGGCCTATTATGCCTGGTGACGAAGGGCATGAGGGGCTATAGCAAAGCAGTGGCGAGGTCAGATTGAGTTCTGGAAAACTCTGACAGTGGAGAGGGGAACCTACTGAGTGGGGATAGAGAAGTACAGGAGCAGGCCCAGGCTAAGGTGGAGGTGCCAGGGTGGGGCAGAGGCTGTGGGCATGGGGGAAAGGGAATGTGGGGTTATGGGAGGAGGACCTGAAGGACTTAGGGCCTTGTTTGGGAGAGTGAGAGTGGGGAAAAGAATGGGTCCTAGCTTTTGGGCTTAGGCAAGTAGATGCAGGATGATGTGGGTGACAGTCACTGAAATGAAGAGCGCTGGAGGAGGGGCAGTGACAGTGGGGGCAGAGAGGAGGATGGAGGAGGAGGGGGGCGAAGAGCTCACCTTCCACGGAGACTTCCCGGCAGCGTGCCAGGTCTGCCTTGTTGCCCACAAGGATGATGGGCACGTGGTCTGCCTGATGTGTGCGCCGCAGCTGAATGCGGAGCTCTGAGGCGCTCTCGAAGCTGCCTCTGTCCGCAATGGAGTACACAATAACGTAGGCGCTGCCCACCTGCAGGCATGAATCCTGGCTCCAGCTTTCATCCTGTAGGGGAGGGACCGCAGGCGCATCCTGAGAGGGTACCTAGACCCTGGCTGAGAAAGGGTGGGGCTGGGATAGGCTGATGGATGGGACAGAGCTGAAGTTTATACTTTGGACAGATTTGGGGGACAAATTCTGCGGTTATTCCCTTTGTCATCTTGGGAAAACCATCGATTCTCTCTGAGCCTCAGTTTCTTTGCCTGAAGAATTGGCCACCTCACTTATTTTCTCATTTGTTGATCCTTTCTGTAGGTTGGATATTGGAGACTGGTTTCTTTTCATGCTAAGGAGGCTTTAGCTCTTTGGTTTTGGGAGGATTTGTTTTTGTTAGTTATTTTGGTCTTCTACAATACAGAATTAAGAGAAAAAAGGAAGAGGCAGAAGTGAGGATGGAGACTGACTTCAAGAGGAGGCTTTCTTTTTCAGGACAGTTTTGAAGAGGGGAAAGAGCGACTGTGGAGTGCAAGGGAAGGGGTGGCAGGGGCGGGTTGTTTTAAGAAGTGGAGTCCTTGCAAACTGACAAGCAAAGGAAAGAACTGGAGTAATTCTGATGTTCTGATTTGGATGGTGATCATTCACCTGGGCAACAACTTTATATGCAGTTAATAAGACACAGCTCCTCCCCTCCAAAAGCTCGTGGTCTGGAAGAGAGGCTATGGAAATGGGGAGTCACAATGTAGTGTGGTAAGTCTCATTAAGAGAGGCACATGCAGGTGGCTAGAGGAGCCCTGGGGGTACAGGTGGGGAGGCCAGAAGGACTCACCATGGCAGAGGGTGGGCATGTGGGAGCACTTCACCATGGATGATGAGTGGGCTTTGAAAGGATGAGCGGGCTGGGCAGGAGAGTGGCCAGGAGTGGGAAATACTACTGAGTGTGGTGGAGGCATTGTTTTTGAGGGGGGAAGAAGTCAGAAAAAATTTCTGATAACCGAATAAGAAGAATAGGAAAGCCTCAGATCTATGGGCAACATCACTGTCAAAGGGGGTAAGTTCTCGACAGCCACACATTCCTTCCCCAGGCCAAATAATCATGGGCTGAAATCAGACAGAAGCAAGTTCTCATCCTTGACCACTGGTTTGGTTCCTTCCTTCCTATTTTTCTCAGTTTCCCCATCTATAGAATGGGTGGGTGGGTCTTGACCATTCATTGACTGCACAAATATTTATGGAGGATTTGTTATGTGTTAGGATCACAGAAGTCAGTTGGTACATGGATTTGCTAGGTAAGAACCCCTTGAGGGAATGGTTAAAAATATGGATTCCAGGACTCCCCTTTTTCTTATTCATTAGGTCTAGGATTAGGCCTGAGAATTTGATTTTTTTATACTCTTCCCAGGTGACCCTGATGGTCAGCCAAGCTGGGACACTACTGGATGAGCCAAAGGCCTACTCAATTCTATCAGATTCTGCCACTCTGAAAGCGAAGGGTACCTTCTAGCTCATGAGTGGAAAGGATGGATGCTTGTTTCAACAAGGCTGCTCCTGCGTGACCCCCATGGGCCCTGCCCCCACAGTCACCAACACATTAATTCTAGGGAAACCAAGGGCCAGAGGAAAAGATAAAATTTCTCAAGGTTGCACAGCTAGCTGGGCCCCAAATTCCAGTCGCTGCCTCCTAGTCCACTAATCTTCCTCCCCCGTCTCCCAAATGGGACTCCCAGTCTGGTCACTCTTCTTAATTCACTACAATCTGCCCCATGGGATTCTCAACTGCATCCAGAAAGTAGCCCCTCTCTCACCAGCCTGTGAGCTCCATGAGGTTGGGGACGAAGGGTGGGAGAGTACACCCGCCTTAGTCACTTCTAGGTCTCCAGGGTCCTGGCCAGTGTTTCTTAAAGAATGAATGAATAAAGGCAGGAACCCTCAGCTGAAGGCTCAGAAGGTGATGCTCGAAGTGGGGATGAAGAGGGGCAACTCTTGTGCATAAGACTACAGGCTCTGGGATCTTGGAGGTCTGGCTTTGAATCCCACCTGCTTTCTGAGGACTTTGGATGCATTACTTAACCTCTCTGAACTTTGATTTCCTCACCAATAGAATGGGGATCAGAAAAACACTCACTATAATCTTCCTCTTGACTGAATGTCATAATAATTGTCAACACCTGGCACAGGGACTGACATTTAGGCCGAGGGTACTCCACAAATGCCAGCTGCTGGTAGGAGAATCATTAACATTGTGCTCATTTGGACTTGGGTTTCCTTTTACCTGCATTAAGGGGAATTGGCCACACAGCTCCTTCATCCCTAGTCCTTTCCACCTATTCCAGGAGTGGCCAGCCATTCTTGTCAATCAGCCAGTGCTCCCCTCTTAAGCCTCATCCTGAGGGCAGGGCCTCCCAACGTGATAGGGGAGGAGCCTACCCTGGAAGAGATGGGATTCCGGGTGATTTTTAGATCCTTCTCTTGGCTCAGTTGTAGTTCTTCCAAATTCTACAGTGAGCGTGTATTACCAGGATAGCAAGAAAAAAAGAGCACTCCAACATGATCTGAAAAACCTAACAGGAACATCCCTGCCTGCTATTCTCCTCCTGCTCTGGAGGGGCCAGGGAATGACACGCTTTGGTGGCTTTCTTTACTAGCTACCAGGTTGTGATTAATAAGAAATATCACTATTTACATTTCTTCACCCATGCTTGGCCTTTTGTTCATGCTCCGAACTGGCTCACCTCTGTGAAACTGCTTAAGAACTTTAAAAATCCACCTAGCTGTAAAGAAGGCAGGCATGACTAGCCCATTTATCAGGTGAGAAAACTGAAATTCAGGGTGGGTTTGTCAGTCACACAAAGGCCACACAACTGTTAAGAAAAAGAGGGTGGGGATTCAACCTCAGGTATCCTGGTGCTCCACTCAGTGCTCCTTCCTCTGCACGATGTGGGTGGGCAGAGGGCGATGCAGCTGCCACTAACAAGGTGGAGGCTTGCAGGGGAGGAGCACATCCTGGAGGGCTGCAGGGAGGGGATCAGCAGAGTGAGACAAAGGGGTCAAGGTCCTGAGGTTCTTCGGTTTTTGACTGGAAAGGCTGCTTAGGACCCTGTGGTTTCTCAGTGTGCTGAGGATGGCCCCTGCCCTGTCCCTGTTGTGTAGGTCCTAGGAGGGGACAGGAATCTGGCCCTAGGCTGACCCCGTCCCCCCAAATCTCTCTTGCAGTGCCATACCGGTTTCTTGGCCTCCCAGGTGTCCATGACCACCAGTGTGGTGTCCTCTCCGTCCACTGTGAGGGTCCTCTCATACACATCTTCTGTAACTGAGGGAAGAGCGGGATCTCAGAGCGGAGGGGCAGGCCTGGGGAGGGTTTGGGCCCCTGCCTGTCTTTCTGGTCACAGCGCCCCTCCACTTCTCCTTGAAGTGCTCACCACCCTTGTTTGATGTCTGTCCAACCTGATGGGGCAGGAAGCTCCACAACAAGCCCGTGTCTCTCCAGCACAGTACCTGGCACATCGTAGGTGCTGAAAAAGCTTGTTTGTTTGATTAAATGAGTGTGGGTGGTGGGGTTAAAGTTGGGCTGGGAAATCTCCCAGTCCTGCTGTCCCTGGCCTAGTGCATGCTTCAGGCAGGTCCTGGTTACCCTCTCTGGGACTCAGTCTACCCATCTGTCACACCTATAGGTGCATTAATATACATCTCTCATACAAGTTCTCACTCTCAGAGGGGTCAGGGTTGGGGAAAGGACCTGGCCAGGTGTCCCCACCCCACCTTCTCTTTGCTTTTAACCAACCCATTCCCCACTCACCCTGGGTCTTCTTAGCTAGTCCTGCAGTGCAGAGACCCATCTTTATTTCCTCTGTCCCTGTCCCTGTCCCTATAATCCTGGAGCCCCTGACCCTCTCAGCTCACTGCATCTCTTGGGAATAAAGGAGCCCAGGCCCAGAGCTTGGAGTCTGGGAGTCTCTATTTGGGGCAGGATGTTAGTTTTGCTCCATAGGGTTGGGAGGCTCTGAGAGTCAGGGGGAGCTGGCTGGGAGTTTCAGAGCTGGGTGGAAGCTCACCATTTCTTTACACATGAGACTCATAGAACTCAGAATTGCTTCCCTTTGGCATGGAAAGAAATCACATACCTCTCATCCACGAGAAACTGGCGAAATTCTCCATTCAAGGAGTTTCCCTCCCACAGACCATTGTGCAGGCTGTGCCCTGCACAACTCTAGGGGGCATCATTCACTTCATAGTCCATGTGAATGATGCACCTTAGAGTGAACAGTGCATGAGTTGTATGACTGTTCTTGGCAGCCTTATGCCCCGATGCCAGGGCTTTCACTCCTTTGGCTACATCCTAGCCCAGCCTACGCGGGCCCTACCTCCCAGCTGTTCATGGAGGTCCCGCTCTTGCTTTCCTGCAAAGAGGTTGGCCAGGCTGGTCTTCCCTACACCAGGATCTCCAAGCAGTACCACACGGTAGAAGGCCTCCCAGGAGCCTTCAGAGTCGCTGGATTCAGAGGACCAACCGTTGGGGCCGGGTGAAGGCTGCCGGGTGGGAGGATTGAGGGAGGCTGACTGGCCTAGTCGGGGATGCTGGGATTGCATGGAAGGTGCTGTGCATAGGAGGCCAGGCTGGTGGCCTCGGGGGCACAGGGGCAGTGGAGTGCTGGCACGCCGATGCACAGGGGTCTTTGCTTCTTGCTGGGTGTTTAGTGTCATCCTTGGGAGGTGGGCTTTGCTCCTTTCTTCGTTCCTTCTGTGAGCAAGAAGGGGGAATGGGTGAGCCAGGTGCTTTGAGCCCCCTTTTCTGTAGGGTCCTGATGAGCTGCTGAGCTGACTTCCTCCAGAGCCCCCTCTTGTTCATATGGGAGGAGGAGACACCTCAGCTCCTGGGGTCGGGGCTTCAGGCCCAGAGTAAACCTGGGTCAGGCTGGGAGGGGTAAATGTGCAAGCTGCCAGCACACACATGCATGCACACTCAGAGGCCATTTCCTCTGCCTTGAGGATGACCCACGGCACAGGCAAAGGGGCAGCAGCAAGGTGGGCAGTCCACACTAGCACTCCCACACCCATGCACACTGACCTGCCCCTACCATTCAGACCAGGACGTTCTGAAAGTCACCTGAAAAGCCCCTGTCCTCCACTTCCCCACGGGTCTACTCCACTTCCCCACGCGTCTCCTCCCCTCCTTCGGGTGTTCGTTTCCGCTGCCCGATCTCATGAGTGCCGAGGAAGAGGCTGGACGGGGCGGTTGGCACTCCGAAGGACGAGAGGGGTCTGGGGTTCACTCCGCGGTAACCCGAGCGCCCCGGTGCCATGGGAACGGCGCGTCCGGCCCGCCCCCTACGTGAAAAATTCAGGAGCTGCCGGCGTGCCGGTCTTCAGCGGCTGTTCGGGTGCGGGGGGTTTGAGCAGCCGGGCTCTAGGTTTGGTGACTGAACTGGGTCCTGGCGGGGGGCGGGGAGGGGGCCTACAGGGTCCGCGAGCGCATGTGCCATTCACAGAGCCTGAGTCCGAGCTTACCTATTACCTAGCCCAGGATCCCGGGTGTGAGTCCCCCGAACCCGGGAAGGTTCCTTGACAGAGGCTACCCAACCCTCCAGGCCCCAGGTCGGAGGACCCTAGATCCGGGGCGTGGGTTCGAGGCCCGCTTCACCCCTGCATGCGCCGCAGAAACCCCCCGTGCAGGCGCCTGGTGAACTCCTCTCCAACTTGACGAAGTTGGGAGCGGGCTGCGAGGGCCTTTACCTTGGCGTGGTGAGGGGTCCAGGATCCCCGGCCGCTGCAGCTGTCGGGCGCTCCAGGCTGCACCACCGCCTCGGCGCGCAGCCCCTGGGGCGGGTCCCGTCCGCCGCCCGGGCCGGGGGAGGAGCCGCGACCCCGCCTCGTCCAGCCCCGCCCCGTTAGGGCAGCCCCGGGGTCCCCGCCCCAAGGCCTTTGGCCGCTGAATGACTTTTCTCAGTGCTCTCGGCTGACCGCCGCCTGCAGTGCGTTGCCTGGGGTGGGGATGGCGGTGCTGGGGTTGCGGCCGAGAGAGAGCAAGGATCCTCTCTGCATCCGCATCTGTGCACTCCATGGAGCAGTGGGACGCACCAACTTCAGCCTCCCCAAAGAACACTTGGGAGCTTGTTGAATGCTTAGATTACCCAGGGCCTAACCTCCAAGAGAGGCGGATTCAGCGGTCTTGCTAGAGGGATTCGGGAATCTGCATTTTTAAACAAGTGCCCGAGTGACCGCGATGTAGAGTTCGGGGACCGCACTTTGAGAAACTCTGCTCTGAATGGAGAATGAATTTGGGATGTGGCTTGAGGGGAGGATTGAGCCCAGGAAGTCTGCCCTGAGTTCCCAGTACTTTATTTTGGCATCATTCATTCGTTCACCAAATTCTAGGTTAAGCACCCATTATGCAACTGGGGCTGCCCTGGGCCTGGAAGAAAATGTCACCTCTGAGGAATATTTACTGAGTACGTGTGCTGTGCCTGGTATTATTTGAGCACTTTACCTGGATTATTAGCTCATTTAATCCAGACACAACACGAAATGGATGAGCAATTGAGGCTTACCTGGGCTGGCTCTGACTCTTAGCCTTCTGTCCCTATCACCTGTGGGTGGCTTAAAAAAAAAAATCTCCCCAGGCATGTAGGAGGAGGAAAGAGACATTGTGATTTTGGTATAGAGAAGTTGGCTGTAGGGGGCTGGTGATTTCAGCCATCCATGGGGCCAGAAGCCAGACTCTTGGAGCAGGGTACTTCCTTTTAGGCCACGAGGGACTGGGGTGGGTGTGTATGTGGGGTCCATGGAGACCAGGCTGTACCTGTGGGAGGGGCTCACTGTCATGGCTGAGGGGGTCCAGGTGTCCAGCCCAGAGCAGCTCCCACAGCAGCTTGCTGATTAGCTCAGCCCCTGCAGTGCTCAGGGCAGACATTGAACCCCCATACCTGGCTTGGCCTTCTAAGCTTCCCTTTCCCACCTACAGGATGGGCTGTGAATGGGGCAGTGTCTCCCGTTGTCTGGGAGTGAAGCGACTTAGCTCCAAGTACTAGCTCTGCAACTCAGTTGCTGTATATGGTTTTAGGCAAGTCACCTCCCTTCTTTGGGTTTCACATTTTTTATTTAGAACTGAAATCCGAACAGGTTTATACCCTTCTACAATACTTAAAGTTGTCTACAATACGAAAGCCCGAACTTGGCGTTCGAGTGCTCTGGCTTCTGTCCTCTGCAGGGTCATATTCAATCTCTCCTCCCAACAAACCCTCTGCTCTGGCCATGTCCTGCTCTTTCAGGCACATGCCATTCCTTCTGCCTGGGATACCCTTTCCCCTACTCTTCTTGCACCATGTAACTCAGATGCCTGTGGACCAGACACTGTGCTAAGCTCTGTACATGTATTATCTCAGTGGCCCTCAAACTTCAGCGGCGCATTACAATCACTTGGAGGGCTTGGTGAACCACACACAGATTGCCGCTGGGACCCAGGCCTAGAGCTTTTGACTCAGTAGGTTTGGGTAAAGCTTGAGAATTTGCATCCCTAATAAGCCCAGGTATTGCTGGTGCTTGCAGGTCAGGCACCACACTTTGAGAAGCATTGTATTATCTCCTTTAATCTTCTGAGTGAGCTAGGTAGCTGTTCTCTGTGAGGTAGGTGCTATTACTCTTCTGATTTTCCAAGGAGCCCTAAATACGTGCTTACTTGAACCAGTCACTCAGTTCTGGTCCCATCTCTTTGGCATCAGGAAGGGAAACCTTCATGTATTCAGCCTTGCAAGGGGGGCTTGTCTTCATTCCCTACACAACAGCCTGAAGCTCAGAGAGAGTAAGTGACTCATCCATGACATCGCAGGGGAGAGAGGGAGACTGGCATTGAACCAGATCTCTGAAGCTAAGGCTTTCCTCATTCTCTCAGGGGCAGACAATGGCCAGTTTCTCACTCCAAGACTTGCTATAGGAAATTGTGTCCTCACCTTCAGAGCTCAGCAAACTCCAGAGGTTATGGCTGACCAGTGCCCCACAGCTGGCTGAGATTCAGGTCTGTCCTTGGGACCACAAGATCTCAGACTCCTACTTAGGTCTCTTGCTGCCCACACTCCTGCCTTGATCTGTGGCCCAATAAAGGTTGGGTGCAGGCAGCAGGGCTCAGCGTGCTTGGCTCCTCTCCCCAGAAGCCCTGTGGCCATGATGCATCTGCTTCTGCTGGTCTCTGTGGCTCTCCTGGTCCTGGGTCATGTGCCACCAGGTAACATCACCTCTGTGTGTGTGTGTGTAAATGAGGGATAGGATCTCAGGTCCTGGGGATGACAGAGCACTTTTAAGTTCTCCCCTTGCCTCCCAACTGACTTGCAGGGGAGCCTAGGGTGAGATGCTAAATCAGCCTGCACCTCAGTTTCCTAGTCTTTAAAATGGGATTCACTGAACAAATACTCATCTGAAAAATATTTACTGTGTGCCAGGCACTGTTACAACTGTTGGGGATCCAGTGGTGAAAATAAACAAGGTCTTTGCTTTCATGGAGCTGACATTTTAGTCAATGGAGACAGAAAATAACCAACAAAAACATTATCAGTGGGTGATAATCACTAAGAAGAATGAAAGCAGGGCAAGGGGTTAGTTGGGGCTGATGGAGAGCTGATGGGGACAGTCAAGGAAGGTCCCTGATAAACTTTCTAAAATGTTTTTATTTTGGAAAATTTGAAATTTACATGAAAGTAGAATAATATAAAGAACCAGGTGAGATTTAAAATAAATATTATGGAAAAATGTAAACATGTAAAAATAGGGAATAATGTGATGACATGAGCTTTTAAAAGAAACTTTTAGAAAAACTCACACAAAAATAGGAAGTAATATTAAACTCCCCCATGTACACCCATCAACTGGAACCAACCCTGTTTTGTTACTTACCTGCCCCCTCCTCCCCAGTCAACTATTGTGAAGCGACCCTCAGATTTCTTATCATTTTGTATAAGGTGGGTTTGGGTGGAGGCCTGAGTACAGTGAGAATACAAAGAAGATGGGGACAGGCAGAGGGGGCTGGAGAGTGACAGTGTGTGAGGAGCAGTGGGGAGGCCCGTGTGGCCAGAGGCCAGGGAGAGAGGAGGGGGTGGGTGAAGTCAAAAGTACGAGGAGGGGACGGCAGATCACATAGGAGAAAAGAACAACTTCGGTATCTCAGAGTGTTTGGAAGGTTGAAATGTGACGATGTGTTAAGAGTAGTGTTATGGGAACTGCCCTCACCCGGGGGTCAGGGTCTGGGGTTCTGATTCTAGACCCACTGCTCCCTGGTAAGGAAAAGGTAGGTAAGTCCCACCCTTTCTTTATCTGTGAAATAAGTCGGTTGGCCCAGAATGAGCTGGTTGCTCCAACTCTCTAAGATGTCATTCTGATAACCTCACTGTCCATTTATTATTTACTCTGGGCCGGCACTGTGCTAAAATGATTAAATCACCTCTAACTGCCCACTGAAAGACAGTTGTACAGACGAGGAATCTGAGGCCAAGTTCACTTAGCTGGGAAATGGCAGAGCTTGGATTTGGACCCAGGTGGTTTGACTTGGGTTCATACGACACTTTGAGCCATTATACCGCAAACCCTCTCCACGGTGTGACCCTTTCCACAGTGTGGATTGTCTGCTTCGTAGGGATTTTGAGGTCGGCTCTGTGTTGTTCTAAGATTCTTTACCTTGGCAGGATGCTTGACAGGGCTGAATAGCACCCATGGGGAGCTCAAGGTATCATGCGAGGACACCATGGACTCTCTTGTAATCCAGGGAGAGGCTGGGCAGCCTTTACCTTCTGCCTCCCACTCAGCCCATTCTTCAGAGTTGCTCTGCTTGTCTGGATCATCTGCTTAGAAATAGCACCCTAACACGCAGGCCTGCCTAAGTGGTCTCTCTCCACACTTCGCCACACCTGCCCTAATTGGCCATCACAGCACCCTGATCATTTCCTTCAGGGCATTTCCACAACTCCGCTTATTGCATTTATTGGCTTGGGTTTCAACTCTTTTCCCTGCTGGAAGCTCTTTAAGAGCACAGACCATGATCATCACGTGTATCTTGTATCCCCAGTGCCCCATGTTTGTTGAATCAATAAATGAAGGAGTGACCCCATGTAGTGACCAAAGACCCTTAGAGGGGATAAGGGACCTATTTCCCCAAAGCCTTAACTTTTCCATGGCTCATGGGTGAAAAGCCTTCCTTAAGTCCTAATATTAAACAGGTCCATATGTGTGTCAGGCAGTTTGTGTAATGGTTACAAGTGTGGACTCTGGAACCAGACTGCCTGAGTTTGAGTCCTGGCTCTGCTCCTTAATGACTGTGTGACCTTGGGCAAAGTTGTTGTATTCTGTGCCTCAGTGTCCTTACCCATACAACAGGATTGTAATAATACCAAGTATAACTGTATAGTGTTATTTTGAAAAGTGCTTAGGGTATATGTGCAGTGTGGGTTAACTTGGACAAGCAACTAATCTGTAACATGTAACTGGGGGTCTAACTTGTGCTCTGGGGCTAACTGGACTGGGATCTGTGGTCTGAACTGTAGCTGGTTGTCTCACTTATGACTGGTGGTCCAGCCTGTTACCTCCAGTCTAACCCTTGACCCTGTGATCAGAGCTCAGGTCCTGTGGCCTAACTTATCACCCGTGGGCTGCTCTATGACTAGTCATCCAGCAGATGACCAGAGAGCTAACTGGTGACTTGTGATCTCACCCAAACTACTTACTTTCTGCTAGGTCCCCTGACCTAACCTGTGGTCAGTGGTCTAACCTGGGGACTAATCCTTGATCTGTGGTCAAACTTGTGAACAGTGGTCTAACCTGTGACCCTTGGGTTGCTTTGTGACCAGCAGTCTTCTTCTGCATAGGGAGGAGCGAATTCAAACGGTGCTGGAAGAGCCAAGGGGCCTGCTGAACTTACTGCACAAGGCAAGAAACCTTCATGCACCTGTGTCCAGACGCCTCACTGTGCTGTCTCTCCTAAGTCCTCAAGCCCCTAGCCGTCCCCAGGGCTGAACATGTGTAGCTGGTCCTGGGGCTGGCACCCTTGTTGTCCAATAAAACACATGCTGCTGGCTGTCTCCTCTTGCTGGCTGCTCTCCACCCCACCAACCCCGGCCAGGTTGGGGAGGTCCAGGGTGTGTGAGGGCTGAAGGGATGGTGAGTGGAGGGCGGTGAGGTGTCAGGGAGAGTGGGTATTAATAACCATTGTAAATGGTTCCAATCTTCCCTACATCCTTCGGGCTCTGTCCAGCTCCAGAAAAATTACTCACCTTCTTAAACTTCTTCAGTCTCCTTATTCATGAAGTGAGGATAGTTATATCAGGAGATTAGGACTTAATAGAAGGAATGCAAAGAGAAAGGTAAAGTTAGTAGTAATAATGAAAGTTAATCATAGTGAGTTAATTATAATAAGAATGAATAGTCATAGTTAATAAAACACTTCCAGCATTCAGAATGGAGATGGTGCATTTGGCTTGAAAGGCAGGTCCTGTTGAGAGTAAAAGGTTTTCCTGTGTTCCCTTATGTCCTATTTTAACATTTCAAGAACCTGCCCAGGTGGAAAGGACCATAAGGATTTTATAAAAGCAGAGTTTTAATATACACAGGTAGGAGTGATAGAGGAAAAGTCTGCCTGTCCCAGACCCAGGGAACTTGGGAATAGGAAGGCAGGGAGAAAACATGAGCAGAGTCAGGGAGTAGGTAGACAGACATGCCTTCTAATTACCCTGTATCAGGATTGCTTTCAGCTGAAAAAATAGGAAGCCCAGCTTGCAGGGATTCTTTCTTAGGTAAAAAGAACTCTGGAGTAGGAAGCAACCATGCCAGGGCAAGCATCTCTGGGCTCCTCTTGGGCCACATATGGCTGCCAAAACTTCGGCACAGTGTCATTGTTTAAAGCAGGAAGGGTGGCAGGGGGTTTGGCATTCGCTAGTTTCTCACTTTTACCAAGAAAGCAAAAACTTCTCTGGGAACCCCCCTCAGCAGACTTCTAGTTACTTCTCATGGCCCAGAACTGAGACACGTGGCTATTCCTGATGTAAGGGAGGCTGGGAAAGAAAGTGCTGGCTGTCTTAGCCTCTGTAGTAGACTAGGAGGAGAGGAGTGGGGAAGACCCTCAGTGTAGGCCACCTTCTCCCTGGGATTGAGCCCGGAAAGTGGCAGGCATGTTGGATAAATTTGAGGGAACACCAAGAGCAAAGGAGCTCTTGTCCACTGTCCTTTGAGACTTTGGGGAGAAGTTCAGGGTAGACTTAGAGTGAAAGAATGGATGGCCTGGCAGAAAGGAGAGGTGAAGTTCAAAGTACTAAACAGCAGAAGGGACACAGCCTGGGGCTGGAGCCCAGCCTTGGAGGCTACCTGCTGTGCCAGGTGTTAACTCCTTGGTTTCTGGTATGAGGGGGGCTGGAGGCCGCTGGCATGGATGAGGGGAAACCCACGGGGCTAGGGCAGCAGTTCTTACTAACCAGGAGGGAAGCGTTGTATTATGTTAATACTGAGGCCACCACCTGAACATCAGTCTGGCCTTGGTACCTCCCTTGGTTTCTGGGTGATCCAGACATTGAAGTGAGCCAGTGGCCGTTTTTAGGACCCAGTGTGGTGGGGGTGGGATGAGGTGGGTTTGGCCTCAGGAGCCTAGAAAGAGACCAGGGTGAGATGGCTGCAGAACCACAGAGCTGGTGGGAGGTGAGGTGAGTCGGGTCTCACCGCCAGGTCCTGGTGTGTCAGCCGGAAGCCGGATCAGTTCCCCAGCAACCTGCCGTCCCCGGAAAGCTGGTGGATGCTTTCAGTGACAGGCCCAAGCCATCCAGGTCCCCGCAGATGCCAGCGAGTCAGGATGACTAACTCACCTCTGTCATATTGGATGGAGCAGAGGGAGGACAGGAGGAATCTGAAAGCCTGAACAATTATACCAAAGAGACAGAGTCTCTGATTTCAGGAAACCTCAGAAAAGAGTATTTACATGGTTGAATTAGATCAAGTTTTAAAGTGGATGGAACTAAATTTAGCTCTGCCCTCTGAGCCCACATTCCAGTTGTTTGAAGGGGCTGTGTTTTCTTCGCACAGTCTCAGAGGTAGCATGAGGGCACGTGTGACCCTGCTGCAGTGAAAGTGGTGGTGATTTCTGGGAGTGAGGAGTCGGACAGACTCCCCAGCTCCTCCACTTCTGGGCCACAGGCCACGTGATCAGGCAAGTCCCTTGCCATGTCCAATGTCAGGATCCTTCTCTGTGAAATGGGCAAAATAGCTCTTCATGGGATAGCAGAGGACTCACCCTGGTCCTCTGGCACGTAGATTTTGTTTTCCAGACTCTCCCTTATTGGTAATTTTAAAGTAATACTTTTTTTCTAATTGTAAAAGTAATACATGTTCATTGGAGAGAACTTAGAAAACAGAGAAGAGCAAATAGGGAAGCAAAAATCATCAGTAATTTCATTACACATAAATGCCCACAAATTAAAAAAAAATGACTTACAAATAAAATGGAGTTGAGCTGTACTTTTTTGGTTTTTTTTACTTATCAATATATCACGATTATTTCCATATGTGCTTTGTCTTCCTGAACATGACTTTTAGCATTAAAATGCCTCCTGAAATTTCTTTAAAGACTCCCAATTTTTATCACTTGAGTAACATGTTTAGAACACATTGTGGGAAAATAAAGTGTAGATGCAATTCAAAATATTTGCCATTCTTTCATAATCCTTGTTAGCTTTTGTTATGTATTTTGTCAGGATATATATACATATACACACACATAAATATTATATTTAAAAATATATTTAAAAATTTTAAAGTTACAAACCTGTGTGTGTGTGTGTGTTTGTGTATATATATATATATACACAAACACACACATAATATAGAACATAGAATGAATAGTATGTTCTTATCTAGTCTTACATATGCATTTTCACATGCATTAGAGATTCTTCTACTATGGTGCAGATTAGAGGAGTTCCTTATTCAGCTGATCAGGCAGATCCCTTTTTACAAGAAAGAAAAGAACCAGGCGGTAGCAATGAAGGCTATTGTAGGGAGCTTCAGGTAGGATTTGGTGACCCCACCCCCCACCGTCTTCTCCACCTGGGATGTTGAATGCAATTGCTTATTGTGCCAGGCAACATTTAAGTCTGAGAGAATTAGGCCCAAATTACCCTTGAAAATGGCTCAGGATGGTGCCATTCTGGAGACTGAAATACACAGCAAGCACTCTTCTACCAGTGGAGCACATCGTGCTTTTCTCATGATACACCAAAGGAAGTTGTTGATTATGTTTAGGGGGCATTTTTATGAAAAGTAAATATCCACAGTGGAACCACACAGTGATGTGTGATGCCTTCGTTGCCAAGTGCTTCACCTGCATGGGAATCAGAAAACTCCCATCTCCCACTCATGCAGCCACTGGCTTAGGAGGGATTCTTCTGGTTCACTTGGACTGCTATTGCTCATATTTGCAAAATATCTGACAAAGGACTCATTGCTAGAATATATAAAGAACTCCTACAAACCAGTAAGAAGGGGAGAATCTAATAATAGAGTGGGCAAATATTTAAACAGACATTTTACAAAAGAAGGTATACAAATGGCCAATAAGCCCATGAAAAGATGCTCAAAATATTAGGCATCAGAGAAATGCAAATCAAAACTACAGTGGGGTACCATTACGCACCCACCAGAATGATTACAATAAGAAAGACTGACTATGGGGAGGTTGGTGAGGATATGGAGCAACTGAAATGCTAATACATTGGTGATGGGACTATAACACAGACAACCACTTTGGAAAAACAGTTGCAGAGTTACTTATAAAATTAAATAGAAATATGTATATACAAAGATACCTCTATTAATATTTATAGCAACTCTACTGACAATATCCCATAACTGGAAACAGCCCAAGTGTCCAACCACTGAATGGTTAAATTCAAGTTATATCCATATGGTACAGTATTACTCAGTAAACAACAACATAACGATATAGTGATACACACAACATGAACGAATCACAAAAACACTGTTAAGCAAAAGAAGCCAGATACAAAGATGTACAGACTGAATGACTCCATTTGTACAAAGTTTCAGAAAGGCAAAACTAAGTTGATTTAAATGGTAAGAAAAAAAGCTGAAAAAAAAAATCCCCGAATTAACTTATTTCCCTCTCTCTTTCTTATTTTCTATGAGCACATATAGTTGAATTTGGGTAAGTCATCTGTGCTTCTGATACAGCCCCATCACCATAATAAACAATCCAGGTAGAGAGGACACTGAAAGGACTAGATCAGTGATTCTAAAAGAGGGGAGACTGCCCTCTAGGGTTTATTTTTGGAATTTTCCTGGGGGCATATTTGACTGTCAAAAATAATGGGGCCCCAAACTGGAATATAGTAGGTTGGGGACCCAGAATGCAAGATGGCATGCCATGTGTGTGACCGTTCTGGAAAATGAAGTGTTGACCCATTTCCCAAACAAAATTTAAACATCCTGCTAGACATTTATGTAGGTGAGAAACCCATTTATAATTTTCTGAGCTGGAATCCAAGGTTGTTTTGCAAGTATTCTTGGATATTGAATTTTCCTGGGATGAAACTACTGTGCAAATCAAAGGATTACTATACTTTTTGTTGGTTAGAACTTTACCCAAACTGTTGACCATTTTGGAAAGTCAGGAGTCAGGTAGTAAACACTTTGGGTGGTTTTGAATTGCGCACATGACATACCTTTTTTAGCTGGCATTTGGTAGCTGTTGTACTCATGCCATGTATAGGTACAAGATCTGACTATTTCATTATGTATTTACACATCAAAAAATATATTATTATAAAATAGTTTCTTTTCTCCTTTATAGTACGGTTAGGGCTTAATTCGAGTTTTCTTGAAATTATATGAGTAGATATGTTGCAATATTTATGAATTTTATTTTAGACCATAAAGGGGACATTGCAAAAAATTTATTACAAAAAGGAGCATTGGGTCTTGGAATGTGAAGCTCTTGTCAACATATTAGTGGGACCTTATGAGGGG